GGTTATGACCCAGGGCCCCTCTGAACAGAGTGGTTTTGCCGCCAAATGGCACCACAAAATACCGGTTATGGCCAGCGCCGTTACGCTCCTTAATGGCATCAAATCCTTGAGATATGAATCAATAGGATATGATCGATAGGGCACAAAGCCCTCTGTTAGCTAAGGTGGATTTAAATTTGTCCCCTTAGACAAACATTCAACCCAGGTCTACAAGGTACCCTTGGACGAAGCAACCCATGGCTGCCGACAAGGATCCTTCTGTCATGTTGGGTCGACTACCTCCTCTGACTAAGTAGACCAGGGACCATGATGGTCCGGGACGACGGAACCATAGAATCTTGATCGGGTCCATCATCCATTCCCCCACCATCCGCTTTAAGTGTTAGGTGGTGAAATTTCCTATTTTAAATGTCAAACTTTCCAAACCTTTCCAAATACCCAAATTCAAACCCAATTTCCAAATCCAAATCCATCCTGCTACTATATGCCAGATAACGCGTATATCTACGTATCTGATTGACGACTAGCCTTAATCGAAAGTTCTCTCTCGTAATAGAGAGAGAACTTTCGATTAAGGCTAGACGTCGATCAAATTCGTAGAATATACGAGTTATCTACTAGCCTTAATCGAAAGTTCTCTCTCGTGATCGAGAGAGGTAATTAACTATAGGGGCTTGCGCCTATAGGAAACTAGAACTCAGATCATAAAGTCCTCACAAAATGTGGGCGAAATCTCTGGGTAGTGTCTTATCTACAAACCCATCTGCCTTCCAAAATTTACCTCGGAACTTATCGGTTAAAACTCCATCGCTCAAAACAAAAAGAAAGGCGGGGGGAGGGCGGGGCCGCATTTTCGGAGCCCACAAAATCATCACTGCCGATGGTTCTTTTGTCAAAGTTGAAGGTCAAGGAGACATACCCTTATCCCCTTCCCTCACTCTAAAAAATGCGCTCCTTGTTCCTCAATTATCCACAAATCTTATATCCATACAAAAACTTACCAGGGATCATAATTGCCAAGTTTTATTTAACTCTTCTTTTTGCCTATTTCAGGATCAGGAATCGGGGAAGACGATTGGACTTGCTAAAGAGAGAGGTGGGTTGTACTACCTGGAAGAGCCAAACAAATCCAGCTACTCTATATTATCCCTAGTTGACAAGAAATCTACCATTTGGCTTAATCACTTCAGATTAGGACATCCATCAATAGAAATCTTGAAACACATTTATCCAAAACTTTTCCATTAATTAGAAAATGAAAAATTTCATTGTGAAACCTGCGAATTAGCCAAACATAAAAGAACCTCCTTTCCAAACAAGAATGAAAGATGCAATACTCCTTTCTATCTCATTCATAGTGACATATGGGGACCCTAAAAAATTTCAAACATCTCTGGGGCTCGTTGGTTTGTATCTTTCATTGATGACTGCACTCAGGTTTCTTGGATCTATCTCCTCAAAAATAAATCAGACGTTAGCACCATTCTTCCCATTTTTCATACCATGATCCAGAATCAATTCAGGGTCAAAATAAAGAGATTTCGTTCGGATAATGCTAAAGACTACTTCAATCAAACTCGACACTCTTACTTTCAGAGTGAAGGTATCATCCACGAGTCCTCCTGCATTCACACCCCACAACAAAATGGGGTTGCGGAAAGGAAAAATGGTCACCTCCTAGCCTCCATTCGTGCCTTCGTACTCCAACATAATATACCCACTCCTAACTGCCACCTACCTCATAAATCGACTACCGTCAAAACCTTGGGAATGAAAGCTCCAATGGATATTTTGTCCTCCTTTTACCCTGAGTTTCGAACCCATAATAACCTTACACTCAGAATCTTTGGGTACACTGCCTATGTCCATATCCATAGCCAGAACAGAGGAAAACTAGATTCAAGGGCACTCAAATGTATCTTCATTGGATACTCTGCCACCCAAAAAGGGTACAAATGCTATCACCCCCCCCCCCCCACCAAAAAAAAACCCCCCCCCCCCCTACAAAGAAAATACTTGTATCCATTGATGTCACATTTGATGAACAAAACTCCTACTTTACCAAACCTCATATTCAAGGGGAGATTGAAACAAAGGAAGAAGATGAAAGTATGCTTGCACCTCTTGATCTTCCTCCACCACATCAAACCAATCCTCCTGAAACTCAAACTAGGGAAGCTGAAGATAAAACTATCCTTAGATTTGGGAAAGTATATTCCAGGCGTACAAGTTCAACCTATACTCCGAAGCAGATCCAAGAATCTGAGCCATCTCCTGAAAATAAGGTAAACTCTCCACTTCGCTTATATCCAATAACCAACTCTATATCCTTCAATAATTTTTCCTCCACACACAAAAACTTCCTGGTTACACTAGTTGATATTTATATTCCTAAAGATATTTCTAAGGCACTATCTGATGTAAATTGAAAAAATATCATGAAAGATGAAATGCAGGCTCTAGAGAAGAACAAGACATGTGAGATCATTAATCTACCAACAGGAAAAAAAACCGATCGACTGCAAATGGGTGTTCTTTGTAAAATACAAATCTGATGGCACACTAGAAAGATACAAAGCAAGATTAGTGGCGAAAGGTTACACTCAGACATATGATATTGACTACCAGGAAACTTTTGCACCAGTAGCCAAAATGAACACTGTCAGAATTCTACTCTCAATAGCAGCTAAGTACAATTGGCATCTAAAACAATTGGATGTAAAAAAAGCATTCCTACCTGGGGATCTGGAAGAAGAAATATTTATGGAAATACCGCCAGAATTTAAGGAAAATTCTGAAGGTAACAAGGTGTGCAAATTAAAAAAGGCTCTATATGGGCTCAAACAATCACCAAGGGCCTGGTTTGGAATGTTCTCTAAGTTTATGCTCCTTAATGGGTATAAACAAAGCCAAGAGGATCATACACTATTCTTTAAACATTCAGACTCAGGGGGAGTCACAATATTGCTAGTGTATGTGGATGATATTATCTTGACTGGAAATAATATGAAGGAGAAAGATAGTATAAGGAAAAATTTTACCAAGGAATTTGACATCAAAGAACTTGGTAGACTAAAATATTTTCTTGGAATCGAGATAGCTCACTCCAGCAAGGGAATCTTCATCTCACAACAAAAGTACATTAAAGATCTTCTAAAAGAAACAGGGAAACTAGCCTGTAGGCTAGCACCTAGTAGGCTAGCACCAACACCAGTAGAACCTAATCTTAAACTGGGGGAAGCTAGAGAAGATCCAGATGTGGATAAAGGGGCCTACTAGAGACTTGTAGGAAAATTAATCTATCTTTCCCACACTAGACCAGATATAACATTTGCTGTAAGCATGGTCAGTCAGTTTATGCAGAATCCAAATCAAGTCCACATGCAAGCGGTTGACTAGATATTACACTACCTTAAAGGAAACCCAGGAAAGGGGTTCTCTTTAAGAGAGATCGCAGAATAACCCTAGAAGTATACACGGATGCTGACTATGCAGGATCACCTGTTGACAGAAGATCTACCTCTGGATATTGCACATTCCTTAGAGGTAACCTAGTTACATGGAGAAGCAAGAAACAAAATGTAGTGGCAAGATCTAGTGCAGAAGTAGAATATCGAGCTATGACCTTGGGAATATGTGAGCTACTATGGATCAAAATAATCCTAGAAGACTTAAAGGTCAAGTGGGATGAGCCCATGAAACTATATTGTGACAACAAATCAGCAATCAGCATAGCCCACAATCCAATCCAACATGACAGGACCAAGCACATAGAAGTAGACAAACATCTCATTTAAGAAAAAACTAGACAGTGGTCTAGTAAGTATCAACCATGTATCATCAAAGGATCAACTTGCAGACATCCTTACCAAAGGATTGGACAGTTCTGCCTTTCTCAAAATGATTAACAAGCTGGGAATGACAGATCCATATTTCCCAGCTTGAAGGGAGTGTTGAAATCCAGTCGTTTCCAGTGCAAAGGATCCAACGAACACAGAGATCAATCCGTGAGAAGCTCTCATGGATCACGCCATAATGAAGGAACTAATTTAGGAAAGTGTTTATTGGGATTTTATGTATGAAATCTGTAATTTATTATTTTCTCATTAAGATATCTTGTATAGATTTATAAATAGGAAATATATTACTGAATAAAGACAAGTCTTTCCCTCTTATTCCTCTCAAATCCTTGTTTATAAGAGATCACATCTGATAAAGATAATGACGTGAAGATTAGAAAGGCAATTTAGTAGTTCTGTAACATATTCCAAGATTTTTCTTCAGAAGATGCGTTACCAAGGGGATTGAAGTTGGCCTCAGGTTTTCTTTGAAGTCACTATGAAATTATCAGCTTTAAGGTAGATTTTGTGTCTATGGGGCCGTGGAGTCTGATTGTACGTGTGCCAGTATTTTCTTGGAAAGCTGAAATGGTTGGGAAGCCTAGATGGAGTAAAAAAAATTTCTTACCATATAGAATAAGGTGCGACGTGCATTTTTATTTTTAGTTAGATATTTAAGCATCTTATGCGAACGCCTAATGTACGAGGCATGAGGGAGCGTGGATGGTGTACTAAGATATTTTACTTTCAGCCACAAGCTTGGAAACTAGTACTTTCAAGCTCATATCATGACATTTAAATGTTGGCACATCAATCCATGGACTTAAACGGCAGTGTGAGTAGTGGGTTGGTCCAATTAAGATTTGGAGGTTATGGATTTAAGCCATGGAAGCAACCTGTCGGCAAATGCAGGGATAAGCCTATATTCATCAATCCTCCGCAGGCTTTCATTGACTAGAGCTTATTGGTACAGCCTTTTTTTTACATCAATATATGGCTTAGGGGATACCTAGTTGTTAGATCGCCCTCTAAAATCTCAAGAGCATGCCTATATAGCATAATTGCAAATTTTGATGTTGCATTGAAAGTCATTTCACTTTCTTTATGCTTTGCAATTTTGCATTAGTTCGTGTTGTAATCACTATAGTTTGCTCCATGCAGGTTGTATACATCAGTACAATTCGTTGAATGGTCAACCTGATATTTTGAAGTCTCTCTATTCTGCTTTGCAACCATCAAGTTCACTGGAAGAGCTCAGGTTGATACCCTTGTACCTATTGTTTGATAAGATTGATTTCGCCAAGTAGCAGATAGATTTTGAATTGGGGGCTTTCTCTTGTGAAATATAGGAAAAACTTTTTTTTCATGGTGCATTTGCTTGTTTTCTCTGGACGTGCTGGTAAACATATAAAGCTCAATCTTGCTAGCTACTCATTAAAGTACGAATCAATGTGCGCTGAGTGCCTTACACTAAAGGAATATTAAACTGCATACTTTTGCCATACATATCTTCAAGGACGTCTATTTGTCTAAATGATACCTCCTATTAAATTCCATGCATTACAACAGGAAGGTTTGCATTTATTTGCTGCCATTGAAGAGTTTCTCTTTTCCAAATTGCCTTTCTTGAGGTTTAGTTTTAGCATTTCATGTGAACTGCATAGCATGAGTAGGCATTGTGTATAGTTGCTGAATTTAAAATTTTGAAATTGTTTAAGATCAGTTGTCCATTCCACATTGGCTCTTTTTTTACCCATATATAATTTGTTTTCCATTAGATAAGCCATTGTCGTATAGCCTTACTAAACTGAATGTTTTCCACTGGTTTATATATCGATGTTACTCTATTTGTATTTGCTAAGTGTGAACATGAAGGTTGCACAGTTGAGGCGTGTAATAAGTTGTAACTTGGGCATATATATATATATATTTTAATGCTTTTTTGACACAGCAGATGTTGGTTGCTTATCAATTCTGATCACTGCTAGTTCTGCTAGGTTTTGTTTTGCACATTTTGCTTGTTTAAATTATTCTTGGGAATTCTAATCTTGCTATGCATTACTTGATGCATGATGTGCCTGAAACTAAATATTGGTTAGATAGGTATCACGATGGCGGGCGCCTTTCTGATCAGCAAATGGCTCTGTTGCAGTATCAACGTGAAAACCTTCATTATTTGAGTGAAGAGGTATGAACCAAATCTGAAGTTTCAGTTTTTATTTCCAAAACTTTCCTTCATAGATGTACATGCTTATCAGCATTGGAGTGTATAGCAAGGTAGAATAGGCATCATTGTCCATGAATCATATCTCATGTTGCAGGTACTTCGTTTACAAGAGCTGTTAAGCAAATACCAACGAGCTGATGATGGGGCTACTCCTCAGGTGCAAAAATATTCTTCATTCTGGCATTTCAAAGATGTTTGGGTCATTTTATTGTTCACTTGTTCTTCCCTTCGATATTCGTTTCTGTGTATGACATCACACAATACATATTTGTGCTTAGGAAGGCTGTTCTCGCAAACATTTTGTGGCCACATTTTAATGGTCCTATTATTGTTTTGAGTTTGCTATTCACAGAGAATCATAAAGTGCCTTATGTGATTGGCCGGCTCCTCTGCAAAATTTTAGTTCATGTTAAATTAACCGTGGAACAGGGTTTCCAACTTGAATTAGGCTTTACATGGAGATGAAAAAGTTTCATATTTTTCTTTCTGAAATTTTAGGGCTCAAGTTACTACTGGAATAATTGCTACAAATTTTCATGAATTTATATAATCTTATTATTCAATCATTCTCTAGGGTCCTAGAATTCTTTTGAAGGATCATAATTTTGTCATATGGTTGACATAATTATATTGCAGTGTTTGTCTTAACAAATATAATTACTAGAAGTGGATAGAGATCTAAAGTCATAATGTTTGCTTCTTGCCATGTTTGATGGGTTGTTATGAGAAGGTTGCATGATGGGCCATCACTTGAGTTTGCCTACCGATAGGTTGGAGCCCCAATAGAAGTTAACCTCATATAAATAATGCGGAGAACACAAGAGTAGGAAGGAATTATTTTTATTTGTCAAGGTATTTGATACAAAATATTATATAGTCTGATCTCGGAAGGAAAGAAGGAAATTAGTCTACTTTAAAACAAGAAAATATCTATAATTATATAAGCATATAAATATTTTCCATTTAGAGCTTCTTAATTTGCCTTCCATGCCCAAACAAAATTTGAGCTTCTTTCTTGACATAAATTTGTGGGATCTTGATTTCCTTCTTGAAGGCACATAAGACATGTTGATTAAGCCTTCTTTCAGCTTTTCCTTGATGAATGTCAGTCAATCTTAACATGCTTTGTACCACCATATTCTATTGGGTTATAAACAATGTTTATTGTCCGTTTTTTTTTGGCAATACTTAATAGGTTCTTGATCCTTTGCTCATTTAAGATAGTTTTTAGCCATAATAATTCATAAATTCATTGGGACATAGCCTTAAATTTTGAACCAACACTAAATCTAGCCACCACATTCTATGCACTGGTGATCTTGCATTATCTTTATATATGTAAGCTTGTAGTATGAGTTAATTATTCCTTCTGATGGAAACTCCTTTACTAGATTACCTTTTAGGTAGTAAAGCGGATGATAGATTACTTATAGATGTAGCCTTTAGATCGTTTAGGAACTGATTGCCCATATCAACTATATTCAATTTCTGATATAGCATGAGCAAGGTAGATATGTTTTCTTACAAACTCTTATGCATATCTTTGTTAACTATTGGCTCTTCTTTTGCTTCCTCTAGTTTTTAATTTGGCTTAGTAGGTATAGCAATTAATTTGCAACCTAGATTTTAAGATTCCTTTAAAAAATCTGTTTCATAATTTTGCTGTGAAATAAAGATACGTTGTTTTGTTTATTCAATTCTAAGAAATTACTTCAATCTTCCAAGTCCCTTCATTTCAAATTCTTTGATTAAACATAATCTCAATTTTTTCTTTTTGTCCTCAATTTTTTCTTGTAGCAATGATATTATCAAGGTTTACTAGGAGTACTGCCAATCTCTTTGTTCTTGAATGCTTAATAAAGAGGGTATGATATCTTTGATTTTGTTTATACTCTATTCTCTTGATTACTCTAGTAAATCTCTCAAAACAAGCTCTAGGTGATTGCTTTAGGCTGTATATGGCCATTTTTGGTCTACACAATCTGTTGGTTGTTCTCATTCTTCAGATTGTTGTCTTCCCTTCAAATCCTGAAGGAATGTTCATGTAAATTTATTCTTCTAAATCCTTATGTAATAAGACATTCTTGACATCATAATGTTGAAGCTGCCAGTTGAACTAGGTTGCCAGAGATAACATAATTCTTACTTGTAGAATAGAACAGTAGAAAAAACTTGTATTTTATGATACAAAGAGAGGTAAATATACATGGTGCTGCTCAATTCATTTTAGGAATTTATAAATGTCTAGGAATGAGACTTGAATACTACTTTTAATTACAATTAATAAAAAATTTCCATGTATAATTTTCATCATTTCCATTTTCGAGAATTCTTCCTATTGTTATGGTATGAAAATTGTCCTCTATACATAGTTTATCTTTGCCTTTTAGTATTAAACTACTATCCTATAGAAGTATTTTTTACATTGTATTGTTGCATAGACTAGAGAGGGAGTTGAAGATATACTTGAATTATGGAGGTCAACTTTAGAGTCTAAACGTTCTCGCTTGAGTAGATCTAAAGCTGAATATATGGAGTGTAATTTTAATAGTAATAAACCTAGTGACTGGATTGTGACTTTGGGCGATCAAGTCATTGATAAGAGTACATGTTTTAGATATCTTGGATCTATTGTTAAGATTGATGGTGAAATAGATGGGGATATTATTAGTAGAATTTAAGTTAGATGGTTGACGTGGATGAATGCATCGGGTTTGTTGTGTGATAGAAAAGCCCCCCTCAAACTTAAGGGAAAATTCTATAAGATGGTGGTGAGACCTGCAATGCTTTATGGTGCCAAATGTTGGCCTATAATACTAAGTTAAGGATTGCAGAGATGAGGATGCTCAGGTGGATGAGTGGCTTTACTCATAGAGATAGGATACGAATTGAGCATATCCGTGAAAAGGTTGGTGTAGCTCCAGTGGAAGATAAGATTAAAGAAAGTCTCATTAGATGGTTTGGTCACATAAAACGGCAGCCTTCCGATGACATGGTTAAGAGAGTAGAGGTATTAGATTTGACTTATGTTAAGAAAGGTAGAGGTAGACCTAAAAATACTTGGTTAGAGAATATTAGAAATGATTTTTCCTTATTAGATTTAAACGAGAATTTGACTTTTAACAAGACACAATGAAGAAAAAGGATTTATGTAGCCGACCCCACGTAGTAGGACAAAGGCTTGATGTTGTTGTTGTATTGTTGCATAGACCACCTAAAGTTAGTGGCCAAAAAAAGCTAGTTGTGAATGATTTTTTTTCGTATCCTTTAGATGTAGCCTTTAGAAATGTCAATTAGATGTGATCTCATTTTCAAAAGTACCTCCTACAAAATTCAAAATGAAGTTACTTCAGACCTAAAGTACAATGAAAATATGAAAAAATGAAAATCTAACATTTTACATAATTCAAATTTATTCAAGATAAATAAATTATTCAAAATTGAAAGTAAAATTCATCCACCATCTGCAATCATTCGAAAGTGATTAATTCAAGAATAACTTCAACTCATAAAAAAGTCAATATTTTGTCTAGCGTATCACTATAATTCATTCAAATAATCTTTTGCCAATAAGGATGTGATATATTTTTGCTAATTTGTGGTTTCATTACTATTAAGTATCACAAGTAAATGGTTATGACTTGAGCTCTTTAGTTTAAAAAACTATTTAGCTTGATAAAATTTTAGATTTCCTCTCAATTTTATTTGTGCCTATTTAACGTTGAATTTCTTCGAGTACAATGTATGTACGATAATTAATTTCTAAGAGAAGGTATATCCTTGTTCTAGCATGAGGCTTGATTTTTAGTTCCGGGTGATTTTTTTATTTTTCTAGATAAATTGTGATTGGTTTTCCTAGTGTAATTGATTCTAAATCTATTATAATTGGATTTTCAATTGCAGTGGGAATTTCACTAGAATTGAGAATTTTTATTGTTTAAATTTTCTATTGAACTTATTTGATTTAATTGATCGTTAAATTATCATTTGGCATAGGTTATTTGTGCTTTCTTGATTGCATTAATAAAATAATAATTACTTTTTTAATTTGTCTTTGAATCTATGGAATTTCTAATCCGAGTTGTATTTTTCATACATCATATCATCTAGTTTCGTTAGGAACAATAAACCCTAACACACCATGCTTCAAATTAATATCAAAACTTAAGGTTTTATAATCGTGTCAGCTAAGCTAGAAGTAGGACATATAATGCCTTGGTCAAGCTGCGAAATATTAATATATGAAATAATGTTGTAATGCAATTTAAATTAAATCGAGCAGACTATGGTTATAAGTGCATACTTCTTAATGACTAATCTTGAAAACCTTTAGGTTAGTTTTTGCCTAACTTTTTTTTATGTCTTAATGACAAATTAGTTATACGTCTTTATTAGTATTTCTTAGTGCACATTTTAATCGTGTAGCAATATCATTGCTTGCTTCATACCATACACATCATTTGTTCCTGATTTTAAATGAAGACATTGGTAGGCAAGTGACTATTAAATACCTTATATATTTTCACAAAAAGTTTGGCGATGGTCCACTTTGATGTTTTTGAAAGCAAGTTTAGTGATTTTCCATGGATTAAACATTAAGTGGAGTACTGAAATTAATGCCTCTTCCTGAAATAAATATACCCTAGATCTTTCTAAATAAGTTTTTATCATATTTTATTCTACCAATTTAGATTTATTTAATTTTATTTGAATAGCTTTAATCAGATTTTCTTATTTATGGTTTTCTGGTTTTGTAAGTTAGAATTCCTCTATATAATGTGGTGTACAAGTGAAGTTGTTATTGTGTATAGCAAATTAATAAGGATATTTTAGATATTATTTATCAGCTCTGACTTTACTCCTCTCCTCCAAAAGGTCGCCGTCCTGGGGTTTACTTTTTTGCGATGTAAGAGTATCTTTTATTTGCTTCTACGATTTCAGTTTGGCTGGCTCCATATTTACTAGTTTGCTCCAAATACAATAATTATAGTTGCTGGCTTGCTTGTTAAGGGTTAGTTTGGTGGTTTTATCTTTTGTTTTGCTGTCCTACGAGAGTTTTGATAGTATTAATCCAGGTTTTTGCATATTGTTTTGTTTGAAGTGAAAGAATTAATTGATTTTTGTCTATAGCAAGGCCAACCTTTGATATGAGAATTGATCAAAACAGATCCGCCTCTGTTTTAGGCTATTTTTGATCTTGGGCTAATCGGATTCAGAGCTTTTCAAGGAAGAATAGTTATCTGTTTCTATTCCATTATATGCAGGTTGATCTTGCTCATCTATTGGCAGCTCGTGACCAAGAACTTCGAGCTTTATCAGCTGAGGTATTGTTAGCATGTTTTAGTTGTGTTCCATAAATAAATCTAGCTTTATCTTATCACCTGTCTTAGTAGTTTGTTTTCAGGAATGATGTGTTTGTGAACAAATTCCAGTAGTATAATGTACATGCATCATTATTCTGAAGGTTCTGGTATTTATTCATGCTACTTATTATTCAATTAATATAACTAATATTATTTGAAGGTTTCATAAAATTTCAATTTAAAATTGATGATTGATTTGCTGCATGGTGTGTTAGGGTAGAATTTATTTTGAGTGAGCTGTTAACCTCTGTATAAATAAGAGGAGAAGAAGCCATGAATCCAGCGTATGTACCTAGCACCCGTCGGATTCAAGAACTCCTCCGCGAAATCTGGCCCAAATCTCGCCGAGGCACTGTTCCTTCGGCGCTGTTCGCGTCTCTTCTCCGTGAATCCTGCAACAACGGCCTCGATCGCTAACCTTCGTGCTCTTTAAAATGAGAGCGATGCTCTCATTCATTCCCGCTGATTTTTCCCCACAACCAGAGCTCCGACCCTTGTCTCCCTCCCGATTCCTTCAGTCCAGAGAAGCCGAGAGAGAGAGAGAGAGAGAGAGAGAGAGAGAGAGAGAGAGAGAGAGAGAGAGATTACCTATCTTCTTCCTCCTCTCACCAAAGCCGCTCCCCATCCTCTCCTGTCCGATCTCCCCTACCCGACGCCTCCAAGCCCTAGCCGCCTACGTCCGACTTCGCTCAGCCCGACGACTTTCCCTCCCCAGTCGGATCGGAAGTCACGTAGTTTTGATCGGAAGCATCAACAGAAGCTCGCTGGTGAGGAGGGTAACTACCCCCTTTCACGCACTCCTTCGGCCAAATCCCGCAAAGCCGCCGAACCTATTGAACAGAGAGCTCGGCTCTCTGTTTAATGGATTTTAATCTAAATCCATTCTAATATTAATTGCAAATTAATTGTTAATTAATAATAATTAATTAGTAATTAATTTTATAATCACCTAAAATCCCTTCTTCGAAGTTCATATCGCCTTGGAAACCCCGCCTATGCACGCTTTTCTTAGCGTGGTGGGAAGGGAGCCCGGTGCGATGCGTACGACGAAGCGGGGATACCTATAAGTACCCGCTTGCGGGGAAATAACTGCTTTTCTTGCAAAATATTTTCAAAATACACATACACGCTTTTCTTAGTGTGGTGGGGGAACAAAAAAATTACACGGTCACGGTGTCCTCGAAAGAGGGCACCTACCTTACACACTTTTCTTAGCGTGCTGGGAAAGGTCTAGTTTTTCATAATTTTCCCCTAAACGGGGGGGACGCCGGGAGGCTGCCGAAATTTCAGGTGAACGCAATGCTACACTTGAAATTGAATGAAGCATATAAAAGAACTCAAATGAATTAAGTTTTGTAGACATAAACTCAATTTGAACTCGTACCTGGACTTGATTGAACTCAGAACAACAGAGGACTTGAAGCACATACATAGAACGGAACTTGAATCATGTTTGCAAGAGAGCTTGGTTTGAACTAAGTAAAGGAGATATATTACTTAAACTTGAATCAATCATGGACAATGAGGGACTCAAGCTTGAATTGAGTTACATGGAACTTAAATCACATCAAACTAAAAATGTGATACATGATATGATATTTAAAGTGAGATCATGATTGTTGAGTTAATATGCCCAAATCAAGTGCAAGAAAGTACATACAAGACTTGTAACGAATGAAGAGCCTCACTCACAAATCATAATGAAGAATCATGCAATCAAGTGCAACTGTGCAAGTTATTGATCAAGTGGATTAGTCGCAAACTTTCAACATGACATGTTTTAAATCAATGGCAAATGAAGGATAATCGTCTCAATTTGAATGAAGACACTAATAAGCATGCAAATGGGAGGCTGATTTGCTAACAGAATATGCTTGGAGGAGTTGTAATGGGTATAACTTGAATACAACGATCAAACTCCAAGAGGATACATCAAAGGAAATAATCAAATGAAATAAACATAAGATTATCTTATGATTTTCAATCCACCAAGTTGCAAGTGATAATAATTGCCTCTTATGTTCTACAAAGAAGTTCTCTACGAACCCATTTGACATACTAGTAAAAGATGAACGACAAATGTGGTAGCATTCCAATCAAGGTGCTAATAAAAAAATGGAGTTCCCAAATAAATGTTGAAAAGCTCTTGTACCAATCAAAATGCAAGCTAATAACTACTTTCAAGGGCAACGAGAAGCTTATGATATTCAACATATTTCTCACACAAGCGACATATTTGCAAAGTAGATGAGCATGGAGAAATACAATAGTGAAGGAGTGGTCCATAAGCAAAGCAAGGGAGATGTAGAAGAAGCGGATTCTTTGTTATGAATTCAGACTAATATATAAATGAGCACACAACAGTCTACTTTCAAATGAGAAGAATAGATGTTCTACAAGACCCTTGATTTATGTATAGCCAACATGAAATCTGCGGTATTCATATCAATCGACCAATGAACTCGTATGCTGAAGATTAGAAGCCCTAATGAAGAAAACTATTAGTTGATGCAACGATTGACATGCAACAGATACAAGCACCCGCAAACTCTTGTATCAAGGGTATTTTAGCATCCTCGTAGTCAACATAGAAATTCAAACACACAAATTGACTTTCATGCAATCAAGAATGGAAGATCTGCAATACATACAATATCTCGACAAATACAGATGTATGTATAACATGCCACCCTGTGTAGATACATAAAGATTACAGTAAATGCAGTATCCTGTAGTCAACTTCAGTCTAAGGATGAATACATCTACCTCCTGCAGTAGTGGATGTATTGTAAAGATCAAAATCACAGCGGAATGCATAAATAATACAAGTTCCTACGAGCTTCTACAACCCAAAGCAGGAGATTACTTAGTGCAATACAATCTACATGCGCAAATCATGCAAGTATTGCACGACAGTCTGCCTGTACAAAGAAGCGAACAACTAAATTCAGAAGCTGCTACGCCACGCCACCTGATCCGCAACTTCTATGCAAGCGAACAAAAGGCGTTCACAAATATTTTAAAAATACCCCTGCACGTGCACCGTAGTTTGTATACACATAGGTACACTAAAAGGGGTAAAAACAACCAAACACCCGTAAGGGCCCCGGCGAGCGTGTTATTGGTACACACGTGACGTCTAGGGATGCTGCGCGGGTTATTAAATTTGAACCCGATCCTCCTAAGTAGATAAAAGGAGTTGACAGGGTTCAATTATAAAATGCCCCCAAACACCCACATGGGCCTCGGCGAGCGTGTTATTGGTATACACGTGATGTCTAGGGATGCTGCACGGGTTAATAAGTGAATTCAAGTTCGAACATGATCCTTCTATACGGGTCAATAGAAGTCGACAGGGTTCGAACAATCAAACAAGTATACGATGATGATGATCGATATATTTGTTTTGATACATTCATATTAGGCCTTCAAAAGTTTATAACAATACAAATTCACTAATAAGAGCATAAAACATACGAAATCCGATCCTCTATTGATAATTCGATAGAGTCGACAATATTCAATCAAATGAAAATGATCTCAAACACCCCAATGATGGCTGTGTTGATTGTTTATCTCAACCGGAGGGGTTCACAAATATTTTTCAATTGCCACCCAAAATCTAAAACTCCACAAAGTCCAAAACCCAACAAATTTCAAAACCCAAAAATATTTAAAAATGAAATTATCCATCTCAACGCTTAAAGCAAAATTCATTCGCCATCCGTAATAGTTTGCCGAAGTAGACAAATTTAAAAACTACTCTATCTCACAAAGAGCCAAATGCCTAGTCGAAAATATCACTAGGATCCATTCTCAAAACAGTCTTCTGCCAGTAAGGATGTGGTACGTGTCCTTTGACCGGCGGTTTGCCGCCAAATGGCACCGCAGGATAAACGGTTATGATCAGGGGCCCTCTGAACTGAGTGGTTTTGCCGCCAAATGGCATCATGAAATATCGGTTATGGCCAGCGCTGTTACGTTCCTTATTGGTATCAAATCCTTGAGAGATGAATCAATAAGATATAATTGATAGGGCACAAAGGCCTCTGTCAGCTAAGGTGGATTCAAATTTGTCCCTTTAGGCAAACATCCAACCCAGGTCTACAAGGTCCCATTGGACGAAGCAACCCATGGCTGCCGACAAGGATCCTTCTGTCAGGTTGGGTCGACTACCTCCTCTGACTAAGTAGACCAGGGACCACGATGACCCGGGACGACGGAACCATGGGATCTTGATCGGGTCTATCATCCATTCCCCCACCATCCGCTTTAAGTGCAAGATGGTGCAATCTTCAATTTTAAATATCGAATTTCCCAAATTCCCAAACTTACAACAATTTCCAAATCTCAATACCCATGCTGCTACTATATGCCAGATAACACGTATCATCTACATATCTGATTGACGACTAGCCTTAATCGAAAGTTCTCTCTCGTGATCGGGAGGGGTAATTAACTATAGGGGCTTGCGCCTATAGGAAACCAGAACTTAGATCATAAAGTCCTCGCAAAATGAGGGCGAAATCTCTGGGTAGTGTCTTATCTACAAACCCATCTGCTTTCCAAAATTTACCTCGGAACTTATTCAGTTAAAACTCCCTCGCCGAATAAAAAGAAAAGCGGGTAGGCCGGGGCCAAATTTTCGAAGCCCACATGAGCCAACTTCAAGTATTAGAATATTGAATTTGAATCAATTAAAATTAGAGTGATTATTGAATGAGTTTCAAGTTTCAAATATAATTTTGAGCTTTAATTTAGAAGCTGTTTCCAAAGGAAAAGGATTGATGTGATGAACAATTTTGAAGTAAATACCAATTTGCCAGAGAAGGTTTGCATTGGTATCGTTAAGGAAACTCAAATTGACCTATTAATAGTCTATTTTTTATTCATCTTTATTTGATCTTTATGATCTCATTTTCATCCTAGAGCTCTTCCTTGTCAAGTATAATACAAAAAAATGTATAGTTTTTATTTTTCGTAAATAAGGATCTACTTTGTCTATGATTTTTTTTATTTTCCCACTCTTATTGGAAGAATGCAGGCCCATATACATTGTCTAACTAAGTAACAATTAGTAACTGTAATGCCACAACTGTAGCGGAAACCAACTCTACATGCTCTTTTTCAATAACTATGAATCTATTGCAATTAAAATATATGGCTGATCTCATGTTGTAATGCATTACAGATGAATCAGGTGCACGCAGAGATACGCCTTGCCCGCAACTTAATTGCGGAGAGAGATAGTGAAATCCAGCAAATTCGTTTAACCAATAATAAAGTAAGTATTTTCGATCTTATCCTTTTGCAGTATTCCTACCATTCATTATTGTATGGTGATTGATGATGCAAGTTTTGATAAAATCTCCTATGATTGCTTCTACTACAGTATGTTGAAGAAAATGAAAGACTGAGAGCTATATTAGGTGAATGGAGTTCTCGAGCAGCTAAGGTATGAATGGCTTTATATAACTTTTCCCCATCTTTTTGCATGAATAAAGTGCAGATTAGTCTTTTCTGCTTGTTTCATCTCAATTATACCGATATATAGCTTGAGAGAGCACTGGAGGCAGAAAAGGTTTCAACTATGGAGCTGCAGAAGAGAATTTCAGAACAGAGAAGCCAGTCATCTTCTCAAGTAGGTGATGAGCGTTGAGCCTTTTCATTTCAGTTTTTATAGCATATCAAGATGTATAGCTTTTCGCAAAGTGGTATTTGCAGGTTGCATTTGTGGTTATTGTGAGCGTTTTCATTGATTACTTCTATATTAATCTTATATTGTGGTTTTGAACTTATTTCTTTTAGCACTCATACCGCATGTTTAGGTTCAAACAAGATCAATATAAGAGCTTTTGATTTCAACTATTTGGGGTGTGAGGAACCAAATAGATTAGATATTGATTGAGGGTTGTGTCCAATTAATGTTAATCCAAATATTAGAGATGAGAAAATGGTAGTAGTATGTGCCCAAATATTTTAAGAGCTCGATTCAAGTAAAAATGGAATTGGTCCAAGAGACACGGGATCGACAACGACTGCCATTGGCAATGGGCACGTGGCGGCGGTGGTGGCTGATGTTGAGAGGGATGATGGTAACAAGTTACAGGATGAGGCTGTCATCACACCTCGCAGCAGAGTGGCGGAGAATTTTTATTGTATTTAAAAATGGGTAAATTGAACATTTTTCAAGTACACTAAATGTTAATTTTCAAATTAATCAATGAATTAGATTGCTTTTGGAATGCGGACTATCAAACAATCAAATTTTTAAAATGCAGGCGTTTGGTTCGCATTATATCTGAGTATATATGTATATATCTGTACTTAATATCTTTTAATTATATATATATTTGTGTATGTTGCATGCTTGAATGGTTGTGATTGTAGAGAGTGTGTGCTTAATGACTTGGCTTTATATGAATTTCTATCACAACACATGCAAAGATAAGTCACAATAAAGATCAGAGTTTTTTATGAGAAAAACGTAGAAAGAGAATAACTGTTGAAACTGACCCCTTTGAAATGATTTAATTGGATTTAGCAGTTGTATTTTGTTGGTTATAAATAATGCCTTTTCCTGTAATCAGAAGTAGTAGATATGAATTTTAGAATTAGAATTTCTTTATGAAAGTCGAAAATTTTGGGACATTTGAATTATTTTTAAAATATCATTAGTGATTTATTCGATTGTTCTCCTTTTAGGAGAGGAGATTAGATATAAAGAAGACATAATTTTAACATTGACATTAGGAAATTGGAGTTTGTGTTGATAGCGTGCATCTACTTTATTGGTGATGATATGCATCAATGTTGATAGTAATGGTGAGTGGTGAAGTTTACTTGAATTGGTGTTGGTGGCGACAATATGTATTGGCCTTATAGGAGATGGCCTACATTGACGGTAACGATTGCGATAGGCAATGAAGTTGGCAAGCATTGATTGTCGGAAGATTATAATTGGGCATTGATAATTATGTGACTGTGGTTGAAAATTTGTAGTTCTATCATAGTTGTCACAAGATTGTAGTATGTGATGGTATTTGAGAGACAATAGTAAGGTGATAGTGATCGTGAAACCATAATCTATTGGTAGTAGTCTAATGATGGTGGTCAGGTGGTCGTAGTTGGGTGATAATGGTCGGGTGGCTATTGCCATGTGATGGTGGTTAGGAAATTATAGTCTGACAACAACGATCAATGGCGGTCAATGATGGTTTTCAAGTAGAGCTCTAAAAAACTCTCGAGTCCTCTCCTCCTCAATCCAACATAGCATCGGATTCATCTTGTTAAGGTGTTTATTACAATTGGGGACTACATAGAATAAAAAACTCACTTGAAATTTTCTTATAAGATATTTCATATTTATAGGAAGCTTCAAGAAAAATAATCATCAGTAATACTTCCTTGAATACATAGAAAAATGTTGGATGGAGAAACTTGCTCTGCTAGAATCATGCTCAAAATGTTAACATGAATATTCATTGAAGACTAGCTATGATTGATACCTAATCCGGATCTATTTCTGATGGAATTAATGCAAATCTGTGAAAAGGGAAAACTTATAGGGCTTAGCCCAGTTGAAATGATTACATTAATGTATTTCATTGGTTAGAAATAATGCCCTTCCCTGTAATTGGGAATGATATTGATATAATATAGTAGATATGAATTGTAGAAGAAAAATTTCATGGTGATACTTGGAAGGCATATGAATTATCTTTAAGATATCATTTGTGATTTATTAAGTCATTCTCCTTTAAGTAGAGGAAACTACAAAGTCTAATATAATATGTGTATTGATGTCAGGAGTTAGAGTTGGCGTTGATAGTGAGCTTCATCTTTACTAGCTATGGCATTCATCAATGTTGATGGTAACACTTGGTGACGAAGTTGATAGGAGATAATGTGTGCCTACACCAATGGTGAGATTATTATTAAGTGATAATAGTTTGACAATGGTTGTTAGGGGATGGTGGACTCCAATAGCCATATTTGGGTGATGATGGTTTGGTGATCATAGTTGGGCAATGGTTGTCGTGGCAGTATTAATTTGGTGATGGTGGTGAGATGATCATAATTGGGCGAGGGTGGTCGAGAAGACTTACCAAAGTGATCTGGTCGGGTGGCCATAATCAAGTGATGGTAGTTGGGAGATAATAATCTAGTGATGCCAGCTAGTGGCATTGATGATTATTATTGTAGAGCTATAGGAAACCATTGGGTTTTCTCCTCTTCAGTCTATCTTGTTCGTCATGCAAAGGACATGAGTATTTATAATTTTTTAGAGTGACATTTTTTATAATTATATATAAAATTCAAAATACTCCATCAAACAAGTCATATTGATCATAGACCATTATTTAAATATTTGAATTCTTTAATGATGTCTTATTTAGGCGATTTTTGGGCTCATTGTAAATATGTCAAATTCAGAGATCATTCAACTCTTCAATTAATGCTTCAAAGCTTGTAATGCTACTGAACATTTATCTTTCACAAATTTATAAAAAGGTGCACATTGTTTATTCAATTAAGAGGAAGAAGCATCTTTGAGAGATAATATAAAATTGAGCGAATCCATAAAATCAATTGCCGTATGCTGAGCATGAGAAACAATTTTTTTGGTTCCGAGGAATGCGGAAAATCATTTCCCTCACTCAATAGAAATACGGAAAACCAAACAGTTTTCCGTATTATATTGAATGTGGAAAAGGATTTAATGCATTCTAAGAAATCAAAAAATAATTTCACATAATCTAAACATGCGGAAAATAGTTCTACGTATTTGATCCTTTGGATTTTTTTTTTTCTATTCCTTTTTTCTTCGGTATGTTTAGAATATGTGAAATTATTTTTTGGAAATTATATGCTAAACATTCTTCTTCTATTTAATTAAATTTAAAATCTACTACTTTTTATAAATTCACCTTTATATATATATTCTCCTTGCATATTAAAATATTAATGAGTTGAAGAATAAAAACATTAATACGAAAATAAACATATTAAAAATATCTTAATACTATTTTTTTTCCTTTTAACTAATTATATTTAATAATAATACTATATTGATCATTTACTCTTTCTCTATGCTATAAAACAAAATTTGTGGGACCTGCTGAAATAAATTCGTGCCACATTTATGAGCTACAAACAACTTGGACACACTAACCAACTAACCTTTTCCCATTTAAAAATGTTAGTGTCAGAAAAAAATAATAAATCTCCATAAATCATTAACACTGTCATTAAAATTTCTTTTGGAATGATTTTTTTATTGCTTTCTAAAATAAAATTTTAATAATTTTTTTTTAATTTTTTATTAAAACTCTAGTAATAAAAAAAACTTTTCCAAATGAAGCTTAAATTCAGATTGCAACTCGAGGCTTATATTTAATACTTGAATGATTTAATTTATGAATTAATTAAAATAATTTTTTTACATAAAAAATTAAACCTGTCATACTATATTTCAAATCAAATTAAATTGAATGAAATTTTAAAATTTGAACAAATCAATTTATTTTTTGATGAAAGAAAATATAATTAACTGTAACTATGAACACTTATCTTTAGCATAAATAATATATATTAAAAAGAAAATTTTATAATTTACAAGATAAAGAACATTCATATTAATTTTTCTGTCATTTATTTATATGACTTAATTTAATATTTAAAAAAAAGAATTATATTTTTATTTAATAAAATTTTTAAAAAATAAAATTCAAATCCATATTTTTATTAGATTTTTTTTTTTTTTTTAATTTTCATCTGCTTCAAAGATAGTTTTGGATATAGAGAATTATGAGCTTGCCCCAATATCATTACAGCCAAAATAGTAAGTTCTTATATTCACCATACGACCTTCATACATCCATCACATTTCCACATCTTCTACTTATTATGACTTTTCCTTCGATCACCCCTTCAACATTGCTAAAGATAACAACTTTAAGCTCTTCACTCATCACTATAATTTACAGAGATTCTACACAGCAACAATGGGATACGAAGCACAAGTTGCAACACCTGCAATCACAAATCAGTCATATCAAACCAGATTTACTCTTAAAAAAAAATCGATAGATAAAAAGCTTTAGGAGATTGAGATCAGTAAAATTACTCACCACACATATTCTTTCCAAATTCCATCTTGAAGTAGCCATTATCACCCCAATCACTACCCCATGAGTTCTTGATCAGCCAGTAGGAAATATCATCCTCAACTCCATAGCCAACGGCAAGAACTGCATGGTTTACATCCTGGAAGGAGAAGAGTTTCATAAATATTGCAGAGGTTTTATTTAGGATGATTTTCTTTCTTACTGTTTCTTAAAGTAATTTTGCGTTTAAAACAATTCTAGCAGAAATGAAGGTTGGGAACTTCATAATAAAATCAAACGGTCAGAGATTAGTGTGTTAAAAGTACTAATAATGTTGGATTAGAAATACCTTACAAAACATGAAGAAATGTTTTGCATTTAAAAATATCTTGTGTCATTGTTTTGGCTCTATAGCACAGTCAATTTGTCATGTATAGCGAAGGATTGAAAAGTATATCAGCTTAAAACATACCAGTGGGGACTTTCCACAAGTGTCACTGGTGTAAACTCCTTTCTTGTAGAACCTGAACCCGGTCACAACTTCAAATGCAACACTAACTGGACGAACCACTCCCACTGCATGTTTTAACTCATCCTCGGCACCCTAGACATAACATAGATCAAGCCAAAATGCAACTTAGTATATTATTGTTCATAGTTTTATATGCAAGTGGTCTACTAACATAAAAACGGATAGGAAATACTTGAGTTTGCAAGTAACCATAAGGGTAACACTTGAGTTCTCAAGCAAATATATCACCAATTGGTGAAAAACAGCGAGAATAGCAGAAAATCAGGGAGAAATCAGCACAAACGATAGATTGCAATATGAAAATCAAAGTCAAACATACACGGAAAGAGGATACAAGTGACCCTCAATTAGAGAGGAGGATCGTCTCTCCCAAATCTCTAGACGAGATAGTCTAGAGCCCAAATCACCAAGGAACCCTAACCAAAATAAAATCAAACATCCCCTCGCCCTAAAATATCTCATGCTCTTTAATATATAAATTTTCCTGAACTAATTTCCCTCCCAAGCCCTAGCCATCCCCTCCTTTTCAATTTTAAATTAAGGTTGAACCGGCCTAACAAAAACCTTGTGTTTAATCAAAGAAAAATAATATTGGAAATGATAGATTAGATGTCAGCAGTGATTTCTTGCTCCCTACACATTAATAATTCTCTTGATACTATTCTATCATATCCAAGAAAAATCTCATATGGTATATCAGTAGGTTTTCAAAAAAAAGGAGAAGGCAGATATCCCTTACCAGGGTTATGTTAACTAAATCAATAACTTTGACACCGACATTCTCCGGCTTGAAGCTGCAGAAACCATTGGCACCTTTGTAAGGATATGTCTCCTCCGTGTCAAGGCCTCCATTGTACTTAATATACTCAAAAGCTTGAGAAGGTAAGCCTCCATTGCATCCAAAGTTATTGAATGCAGAAGCGCAATCTACAAGTTGCTGTTCTGATAGAGATATCTCCTTCCCAGTCAACTGTGTATATGCAGCCTCCAATGCCCCAGTGGTACTGTCAAAAAAAATAAATAAATAAACATCACTATTTTACCATTAGCTGCCATTGGAAAAATTCAAGATGAAGCTATCACTAGTAAAGAGTTCATAATTATCGTCAAACAAATTAACTTTACTAATAGTTAAAAAGTTGATCAACTATTGATCAAATCTAAATCTTCCAAACAGTAAAGGGTTGATTAAGATTATTAAATCTCATCCTGCTCTTCACCTTGTCATTACTGAAGTAGAGTCTAATCTAGGGCTTCTTCCCAAGATATTGAACAATTGTTCTAACAACATAAGGATACAAAATTCCATGCCTTTAATCAACTGACTATGGTTTCATTTGGGACAGCTTTCTTCTTACTTTTTAAAACAGCTTTCTAGTACAAAAATTTTTTGAACTTGAAATTTTTATACTAGAAAGCCGTTTTAGAAAGCAGTACGAAAGTTGTGTCAATCAAAGCTTATATCTTAAACATCTTACAACGAGGTCATTTCATTTTCATTAAATTGTGTGAAGACGATATTCAATCCCAAGACCTAGCTGGTAATTTTGAAAGATCTTTACCAAGCTAACTATAGCTGACACTCATATATTTAATATACGAAACAAAGAAGAATCTCTTATTATAAATCAAGGTACAACACATAAAATTTATTGAAACTTTAATGAAAAAATTGAAGTAGAACTTAACACATGTAGCACTTACTGATATCAATCCCAACTGAGAGAAGTCCAGCGCAGAAGTTATAATTGAAAATTTTGAGTTATTTAACTTTCTTCCCTTTTTGTAATATTTAGCTGGATGATTTAGTTAATCTGATTTGACTTAGTAGATCTAAAAATTGCTCAAATTATCAGGTATAACCTTAATAAAAAATCAGACCAACCCGGTGTGGCCCGGCCCACCCAACCCACTTCAAAGCCGGCACTAAAAATTGCCTATGAAAGCTTCTCACCTGAAAGTCCAGCAAGAACCACAGTGCCCTTGGTCTTTTACAGAGCTCACTATTCCCTCCTCCCTCCAGTCCTTCTGCAAGGTCAAAACAATAATTTTATACACTAATCAGTCACAATATCCAGTCAAAACAGACAAGTCCCAACTGCGAAAAGTCCAGCGCAGACGTTATAATTGAAAATTTGAGTTATTTAACCTTCTTTCCTTTTTGTAATATTTAGCTGGATGATTTATTAATCTGATTTGACTTAGTAGATCTAAAAATTGCTCAAATTATCAGGTTTTAACCTTAATAAAAAATCAGACCAACCCGGTGTGGCCCGGCCCACCCAACCCACTTCAAAGCCGGCACTAAAAATTGCCTATGAAAGCTTCTCACCTGAAAGTCCAGCAAGAACCACAGTGCCCTTGGTCTTTTACAGAGCTCACTATTCCCTCCTCCCTCCAGTCCTTCTGCAAGGTCAAAACAATCATGTTATACACTAATCAGTCAGAATATCCAGTCAAAACAGACACGGCTTAACACGATCCGACACGAAACATACCGCCTCCGGAAGCGCAGCGTCCGTCAATTTGTGATTCCCCTTGAGCGTCGCCGAGCAGTTCTGCGACGCTCCAAGCTTGGTCGCCCTGAACTCCTCCCAGGTCAAGTCCGCGAACTCTGATCCAACGGCCAAAATAAATCTATAATAAAAAATAGAAAAAAAAAACAAAGAAAAACTGAAAAAATTACGTACGGTTGATGCCGAGTGTGTACTGAAGACCCTTCCGATTGTTGGATCGTATCAGCTGCAAATTCTCGACGAAGATCCCAAACCTCCTCCTGATCTCCTCCAGCGATCGGTAGCTCTTCCCATACCTGCAGACGATCACCACCATCCGATCATCCAATCAGATAGGGTTCAGTGGAAGGCAAAGAAAACCCTAATTTTACCGGTGGGCGAAGCGGGCAAAGCGGTAGGCATGGCGCCCGTCCCCGAGAGCGTGGAGGATGGTCTGCTCCATCGAGCCGAACTGGTCAGCGACGGACCGTATCACGTTGTCATCCTCGAAGTCGGCGAGGACGGCGATGACGGCGGAGAGGAGGAGGACGGCGACCAGGAGGCGATGGAGAGCCATTTGGCGTCGGATCAGTGCGTTTGTTTCCGGTGATGGGGGAAGTGGGGGTTTAATAATGGGGAGAGCCTGGAGATGATGCACGTGCTGACGTGGTTATACGTTCCCGCATAGACATTTTCGAAATGACAGGGATACCCTTATATTAACGGTTGTGAGGGTTCTACTTGTAACAAATTGGCACATAAGTTTTTGATGGCAATAAGATATTATTGCGATGCTGTTCGTATTAAGCAGGGAATGCAATGATATACATTTGTTCCGCTCGCCACCATCCCGGGAAGGTACATTATTTGGTTATTTTATGGGAAATAATTTAATAATTTTGGTGAGGATATACTAAAAAAATTATTTTAAGATGAGTTTAAAATATATAAATAATTAATTTTTAAAATAAATTATCTCGAAACTTATTTATTTTTTCTCTCATTTTGTGTAAGGCCATTTAAGCTTCTAGATTATTTTAAAGAGCATAACGTCATTGTAATGTATACCCCAATATGTTTTATAGTCAGGGCTTCCTCACCTACGAAGTGTTAGTTAAGAATCAAAGCCACATCAAAGGAAGCTATCTATGTGCAACCACAACATCCTATCCAAATATCTATTTCATTTACTATTTCTCTAGGTATACCATCTTTTGCAGACCAATCAACTTAAAAATAGGAGGATGAAATGCATGTTTGTGATCTTCTTATTAATTATTTTATTCATAAAAATTACATAATTTTAGAACACATTGTCAACTCTCTCTTCTATATTTCCCTTTGCCCTATCTGCCTAGCTAGACTTATCAATAGGGTCAAAGCATCACCTACGAATAAATTTGAATCCAACATCATTTTAGGGGCGATGAACATAGATTGATGCCAGTGACTAAAAATCAAGCACTACATGAAGATGCACAACCACATCATGAGAGTTCGATGAACATGGAGAACCATGACTTTACAACCCACCGTGATTTTATATAGTTGCCTTTATGTAGAAGAAAGGGGACTTCATGAATCATAAAGGCAATGAACACTCCATCATTATTGAAAATCATATTTTTTGCAACTCATCATTTTAAATAATTATTATATATAATATATGCTTTTTTATTGATCTCTCTTCATATGATTAAGTGAATCGGGAATCTAAGGGTTCGTTTGGGACGACTTTTTTATTGCTTTTTAAAACGGAGTTTTAGTACAATTTTTTTTATTTTTGTACTAAAACTCCGTTTTAGAAAGCAATAAAAAAGCCGACCCAAACAAAGCCTAAATGTGGGTCATCATCTCCTTAATGATACTTATATATTTGCAAGATTGCTTTGATTCTAGATGAAAAAAAAAAAAAGAGATATCTACACTAAATGGAAGATAAAATGAAAATGATATATTAAGAACTTTTTTATTTTTTTGATATTACGAAAATGGTCTAAGTTAGTTTTGGTCAATTTTGATGGCTTTTATTTGAATCCATTAAATTTAGGCCAAATGATAAAAATAATTAATACAGTCAAAATTAAATCCCTCCACTTTTAATTAGTATTTTAGGTAAGAAAATTATTAGCATAGATTTTGATACGTCCTCAAAAAATTGTTTTGATCAAGCACGAATCTCGAGGCATATTCGAGTTGGAAACTTTCAAAATTAAATTTGGCATCATCTGAATTCCAATTTCAGCTAACTTATAGTAAAACTAGACATCTCAAAGAGACGAACCAAACAACACCAAAATTGGTCCAACCCAAGCCCAAATGGGTCCGAATCGATGGCCCATGCCACATTTGGAAAGGTTTAAAGTATTATTCGGATGAAAAAATGATATCCAAATATGCCATGCTTATAGTCAAATCAAGCGGCTCGGCGAGACAAATCCAACAAGCCCAAGATCTCTGAATTCCGACATCGTTAAGGCACTTAAACAGTTGAAAAATTCTCTACGATCGGGGGAATCAATACAAGCCATCCGATGGAGCACTCCGAACCAGCCTCGAATCTTCTCTAAATTTACGGGGCGCGTCTGCCATCCACCACTGGACCTTCTTCGGATCGTTCATTGTCAGCCGAACTTATGCATAAAAGTCATCGAACTTCTGCCCGACCATCGTCAGACATTTGACTAGCTCTCCAAATTACTGTAATCTGACAACCTCTAAATTGAGGGACGTGTCAACCCTTGTAATTCACTCAAGTTTAGTGAAATTTTTTCACCTGGGCGAGGCCCCGTGGTTTTTTTTTTCCTCTTCGCGCTTTCCACGTAAAAAAGATCCGGTGTTTTACTTCTCTCTTTCTGCTTGCTTGCTGGATCTTCGTACAATGCTAAGACGGTAAAATTTATTTTCTCTACCCTGCGAATTTTCCTAGACGCAACAGATTTAAAATAAAATAAAAAAGAGGGAGATTTTATAGATTATAAAGTTAGTATCAATCACTAATTTTTGATAAGATGAGAAGATATATTACAGGGTTCTGTTAAATAATATTTGGCTACCTGTATGGGTAATTCATCTGGTTTGACGATTAGAAAACAGAGAGATTGGCTGGTTGATTCGTCGGATTCTGAATCGGAGTCTGAGTTAAATATTTCTGACAATGATTTTGTGCTTGGATGTAATAAAAATGTTGCCGCTCGGGGGAAATTTTGGGGGAGGGGACGTCGTAGGCGTTGAGCTTCCGATAGCTGTGTTTTTTCCTATTGCTGGTGCTCGGTTTTTGTTGGTTTTATCGTTGGATTGGCAGGTTTTTGTGTCTATGGGCAATGATGTGGTCGGGGCTCGCGTCTCGGTTAGCTTTGCTGGTGGCAACCGTTGGTGAGGGACTTGGGTTTCGAGATTCACTGGCTGGACGGTCTGTGCGGGTTGTCGGGATGCTGGGAGCCTTGGCTGTTCGCTGAGCCGTCTTCTTAGCTTGTATTTTTTGTCATTTTGTTTTCTGTGGTTTTTTCTTTTTTCTTTTTTTGTCATGGTTGTATCCTTGGATTGGAGAGTATGAATAGAATTATTGTGTTGTTAAAAAAAATATTTGGCTTTGTCATGCTTTTAAAATTTAAATTAAAAATAGAATTAAAACAATAAATTTATGTAATAAAATAACTACAATCAAGAAAAGATCAAGGTTTTATTTGGAACGATTTTTTTATTGATTTTTAAATTAGTTTTTAGTTTTAAAATTAAAATTTTTATGCGAAAAAGGTTTTGTAAGAAGTCGCTTGACATAGATCCTATTTGATGAATAACTATTTTTTGAAACTCACTAAATGGTCGCCGGATATATAGTTTTGATCACTGTTTTTTTTTTTTTAATTTCTTTCAAAAATATTAAAAGTTGTTTTAAGAAGTCCCAAATGAAGCCTTGGGATATATAGTTTTGATCACTGTTTTTTTTTTTTTTAAATTGCTTTCAAAAATATTTTGTACCAATAAATAGCTTTATAAAGCAATAAGAAATCAGTCTCAAATAAAACCTAAATCAAATCGGTAAAATTTTTATTTTTTGTCCACTACTATAATGCATTTATATTATCATTTGCCGTAATGTCGATCTCATGTAGCAATAGCATGTGATAATATTAATAAAGATAATGTCTACTTCTGTAATAAATTAAGATTTGATTTGAGACATTTTTTTATTATTGTTTGCTAAAGCAATTTTTAAGTTTGAAAAGCAAAAAAATTCTCAAATAAAACCTAAAATGTAAAAGATGGAAAAAAAAAAATAATCTAATGCTAATAATACTATTTATAAATTAACATTGAATTCTTAATAGACCAGTATTAATTTCTTCTATTATTTTCTTAAAATTTTAGATAAATGAGTTTTATCAACACAGATTTCTGTGGGGAAATTAAATTAGTTATTCTTGTTGAGAAAAATAATTTTTCATTATTAACATTTTAAAAAAATAGTCAGAAAGTAATAAAAATGTGGTTGATATCTGAAGAAAAAAAAGTGAAGAAGGATCAAAATACTTTTTATTAAAAGGCATTTTAGTCCTACACGAATCAAGAAAATAAGTTTGCACAGGACTTGATTTGCTTTACCAATCCATCTATTCACCTACCCCTTAGGTGGAAAGCAAACGTTCTATCTCTTTAGTTGAAACTTTTAAGCTGACTATCTAATTGTTTCCGTAATCTTTTCTCGCCTTTAAACTCAATAACTTATGTATCAGATTATCATTTCAAAAAACTATTTCGTGGCTGGGCTCTTCTTTCTTTGTTTGTTTTTTCAAGAAATGAGTCAAAACTAGGGCGAATTATTACGTCCGGTCCCAATCTAGACGCGCCACGTCACCCGAATACACTAGGTCCCAGTGTATTTTGGTGACGTGACGGGTCTGGATTGATGTCCGGACGAATCCGGACACTGGACGTAATAATTTGCCCAAAACTAGAGAGGCAGTGTTATTCAAAGATCACAACCAGCTCAAGGTTGTTTCTTGGCTTGCAGCCATATTGTATTTACATCACTTAATTATTTTGAAGTAAAAAATTTTTAGCTCTTTTTGATTTGATGGCTGGAAGTTTGGCTCCCAATAAAGAAGTCATGAGTTTGAGTCTTGTACTCTTGTGTATGTGTTTGGGCGCAGCCCCTAATTCCATAAAAATTTATAGTGAATAATGGGACATTTGATACAGTTTAAAAAATATTCATGGAGAGACATAGATAGACCTGGTGGCACAAAGTATGAACAAGAACAATGGTTCGCTTCCAGGTTGAATATAGTTAGACAAAAATTCAAATTGTATTCAAATATTGTTAGAAAAAGGCCGACCAATTTTGAATCAAGTTCTAACTCGGATCAGTTTTGGATTCAAATTTAATTCAAATTCATATGTATTCGACTCACTCTAATTATCTTTGATATACCATAAAAAAATAATCATGATTGGGCACTAATCTTGGGGCAAAATTAAGTTGGAAATTTCCAAAATTAAACTCGGAACCAACTGAACTCTGATTTCTGCAAACTTATAATCGAATTGAAAGTCTCAAAAAGACAAACCCAACGTACCTCTACCCAATCCAAGCCCAAATGGATCCAAATCA